ATATATATATGTGTATGTATGTATGTATATATATATATATGTATGTATATATATATATGTATATATATATATATGTATATATATATATATATATGTATGTATATATATGTATAATTTTCTTGTAATACTCAGGGGAAATGATCTGATCTCCCAAAAGACTATAGAAACAAGGAGTTTTGCATGGAATTCAGTTTATTTTCCCAGCACATCTCCTCTTTTGTTTTTTGCTTTTTTTTTTTAAAAGACAAAACTGTTCTATTTCTGTCTGCGGCTTACCAACCAATCATGTCTCCCCTGCCCAATGACAAATCTCTCTGTGAAAGCTGATAACAGCAGTCGGTTTGAGTGAAGATTGTTGTTACGCCCCGACATAAAAGATTGTGAGAGTTTCTGTCACAGCCGCGTTATAGAGTCGCTGAAGCCACAGAGTCACCTCCAGGTCGGGGGGCTCAGCCCGTGACGACAGTCAGTGAGAGAAAAATGTGAAGAGGATTTTAGAAGTAGAAGATTTCAGCACAGTGGTTGGTAGTCTTGCCTTACAGCATAAGATCATTGCTTTACTGGTTTGATCCCTGGTCTCCAAAGCTCAAAAAGAAGCTATTGGAGTGTAGGATGGATGGTGGGTTTTTTAAGTATGTGGCAGTGGCGGATCAAGGACGTTTAGGGTCCATCTAGGGGCCAGTATCCCAAAAGCTGTTGGGGGCCACTAAGATTTCAGTTAGGGTCAATGCCACCGTGCTCGTGCCCCTAGAACCACCCCTGGTATGTTGCCCAGTGATGGTCCAGCCTTTTGTCTAAGATCATGTTTTCCCAGTGGATGGACATTTAATTCCCGATCTTTATTTATTTATTTTTTCTGTCTTGATTTCAGATCTTTGAAAAAGACACAGGAGATCAAACGCACGCCCTGCCGCCCAGGAGCACCGAGGTGAGTCTTACTAACTCTTACTATGTCGGTCAAGAAATCCCTCTACCGTCAGTGTCATCCTTCCATTTCATGGTCTGAAACATCAGTGTAAGTGGCCGTTGTTAATGACGGCTCAGCTTCTCCCCTGACCTCAGCAGTTGCATGTTTGTCCACGATCAAAGCAGACACATATTTTATGCAGATCTGCAGGACAGAAATAAACATCTTGGCTGAACGTTCAGCATGTTTGCCTGAGACCTCTAATGGTTTTTTTTTATAAGGTTTCAAATGAAAATCATCACTCATTTTCTTCCCACATATTTAAATGTTTTTACCCTCCCCCCACCCCCTCTAGATCTAAATAGAAACTGGCCTTTGCCTTCTGTAGGTCCAGTTTGAACGTGATGTGGCTGAAAGCTTGAAATGGACTTTAAAAGTGTTTGAATATATAAGTGAGGCTGTATAACTGCCCTGGATAGTGGTACATCTACCTTCATGAATAAGTAAAAGAGTTTTCTGAGGGCTGGAGCATTGATGCTTGAAAATGCTAGTGTATTGTAAAGTGCTGAATTTTTTTTCATTTTTTTTTTCCTGAGCAGCCAGACATCAGTTTGTGCAGCATTTATACAACGAAGTTATTGCAGGGGGCGCACAACAAGTCAGATTTAATTAAATTTAACTTTTCGTTTTTAATTTTGCCACAGTTGGAAGAGAAAAAAAAACTCACTGATTTGTAATTTTATTTATTTGTATTCCTCAGTGAGGATATCTGTTCATATATATGGACATTCCTTGTATATATACAGAAGTGTTAATGCCGTAGATAGATGTTGTTTGGCGTTTAATAATTTCTCATCTGTTTGTCAACATTAAGACGTGAGGATTTGTTGCTGGGGAACAAGTGATGAACGCTGCTTACAGATGAGCATAAAGGGCACATTTGGCTGTGAACGAAGTCGGCTGTGAAGATGACTGTTCCACAGGATGCAGTGAATCATACTCTGTACTGAATGGAGGCGAGTGTTAAAACTGCCACTGTAGGATCTTTATAAATGGACTCAGAACAGGAAGTTGTTCGGGAAACAATAATGTCCTTCATTGGGTCAGAGCTTTAATTTAGCCCGGTGTCCAGTTTAATCTCCTCACTTCATTGCATGGATGTCTTCAACATTATGATGTCAACTGAGCAAACCTGGGGTCAGCGGTGTCCATTTCAAAATAATTAGGGAATAAGACAGTAGGTATACTGAGGAGAAAAGAGAAAGCTCAGTGTCCAAAAAAAAAATATTTAATTTAATAAAGACAGTAGGTATACTGAGGAGAAAAGGAAACTCAGTGTCCAAAAAAATATTTTATTTATTTTAATTTAATTTCTGTCTCAGTGATGTTTTAGCTGCTGCACTTCCTGGATGTCAAATCTCCTAAATGACGCTCAGAAGAAATCCTGTTTCTTTAAGAACTTTACTTTACTGATCCCACACTGGGGAAATTATTGTGTTGAGAGCAGATCTGCTGCAACAGGCTGCCCCCCCCCTTGGAGGTTAGGGTTAGTATGTGGGCTGGAACCCACGACCTTCTGCGTGTGAAGCCGATATGTACGCAGGAGTGATAAGTGCTAGACTAAAGAACCACCCTGTTGTAGTTGGGGTTTGTCCTGTGTATCTGCACCTCGTACACTTGGAGGGAGGTGGGCCTTATTTTTTTTTTTTTTTTACAAAATTCATACAGCAGTTTTCTACCACGTCTTCTCTCTTAAAAACCATTTTATCCAAATACTATGAAAGATTTATTTGAATTTTTTTTTTTTTTTTTACTTATTTCACATTTCTGTTGCGTTGTTTCAAGAAGAGGGTTAAAGGAATATTTAATTGGCTTTGGATCTTCTCCTCTCACATCTGACTCACTGAACCCCCGCCCGTCCCCGCCATCCGTCCCCCCTTCCTCTCTGTGTCACCACACTCCACTGCCCACTAATACTCATCCCAGCTTTGACTTTGAAGTGATTGCCAAAGAACTGGCGCATGTAGTAGTCTGTCTGTGTGACAATTACTCTCAGCAACTGGCGCATGTAGTAGTCTGTCTGTGCGACAATTACTCTCAGCTCGTGTGTCTCTCTGTGTGTGTGTGTGTGTGATGGGGAAGTAAAGTGTGTCACAGTAGTTGAAACAGGAACATGAGGTGGACCTGAACATAAAAATAAGAGTCTTGTAATGACCTCTTTTATGGTCAGTGTGTCTGCTCAAAGCCGTACAGTCATATCTCTGACACTCGGTGGAACATAAAGGCTATATTTGTCCGGCGGCCGCTAAACCGTCCGTGTGTCACTCGTGTGCCATCTTTAGCAGCTCCAGGGTGGAGGTCTCCCTGCTTGGAAATGATTTCCACACTGCAGAGGGAAAAAGTGAAGCTTTGGCAGGAATTACTCGGCCGAATGCGAGTGTAAATAGCTCATGCGCTCGCCACACAGAGCACTTGTTGAGGTCCAGCGTGTGCCTGGACTGTGCTCTTGGCGTGCTCCATCATGGAACGTTGACTAGGCAACCGTGGGTCCATCACAAGCCTGTCTGACCAGTGAATGAGTACACAGTGTTACTCAGCCGCAGGTCAGGTCAGCAAAGGCAACAGAACGTACTTTTCCAGGCATGTCCTGTTGCTTTGAGACAAACACAGCACTTATGGAAGCGGTTGCCATGACGCTTGTTTTTTATATATTTTTTTTATTTTCATATTTTCACAAAATGAGCTCACATCCTGAAAGAGGTGAGCGATGTAGGGTGGTGAAACAACATTTTGAGTTTTACTCTTACCAACAGATCGAAGAAACATTTTTGATGAAATATTCATGTTTTTAAAAAAAAAGTTCTTAATTCTTTAAGTGATTGATTCTAAACCACCTTAGTGCAGTGATGGATCACCAGGTGTGCCGTAAAAAAGTATCATATTTTATTTGTCTGAAAAATATTATTATTCCCTGCAAATATTTGCCTTTGCTGTTTTATGCTTTGCTCAAAGGCAGAACAATTAAATACTCTTCCACCAGGTGGCAGCAGATGGCTATGTAAACAAACGGTTGAGGTGTTGTAGCAGGTTTTTTTGTGCGTTTCTTCCTTCAATTCCTGCGACTATATCAGCATTAAGTTCAGCTAAATATGCCCTGGTATCTCACTGAAGTCAAACTAACAGATTATTATATTTTATTGCTTGTACTTTTTGTGGCATTTTTGTTTGATGGTTCGCTCTAGGATTTTTCTAATGTCACATATGTGCCGTGTTTCAGACAAAGCTGGGAATTAAATCAGTGTTTGTCAAAGTGCTGCTATTTGTTGGTATATTTGTGTGGATTCAAGTTAAGCTGTGAATCATTCAAATGTTTTCTAACAAGTAGAAATCCAAGGCCTCACACAAAAAGGAAATGTGGTCTAGAAAAAAAACCCCTCTGATTTTTATGATCAAATAATTATTTGCTGTAACCCAGACCTCCAGTTTCTCACTCAATGCAAATTTTCCATCAATTATTGCTCTTGTTCCTGTCTCTGAGTTTATGACTCTGTCACAAAAGTCATTAATCACAGGCTTTTCAGAACTTCTGGTGTGATGGAGGCTTTTCCGCCAAAACTGTGCTCTTGATATTTGTGGTCTCTTGTTGCACTGCCGCAGCACCACAGCAGTGGGGGCCCTCTCTCCAGAGACACAAAGTCGCAACCAGTAACCCCCAAATAGCTGTCTATATGTCTGAGCTGTGGGCTTTAACACAGCAGTTTAAACCTCAAGTTAAGGCCACCAACAAATGGTTACCTCCTGTTGGCTAACTTGTGGGAGGGGGGAGGAGGGAAAGATTTTTAAGAGATTAACTTGTGATTGTGGTTCTTTCTAATCAAATCGGTGGCAGAGAAGTGAACAGATATCATCTGGGTGTCGGGACCTTTGCTAGTGCTCTGGTCTACACGGTCATTACAATGACGATTATTTGCAGCAACTGCCGTCGGTGTTGTCAAATGAATTTCTAAAAGGTTAATTGTGTGACATCTTTACTCTGCTGCTTGATCCACAGCCAAGCATTTAGGCTAATGGAACTGTGTGCTGCACTATTCACTCATTATGTCTCTCTTCCTCTTTCTCTCTCTCTTCCTCTGTCTCTCTCTCTCTGTTTCTCACTCTCTCTCCTCCACTTCTGTTTTAATTCTCATCTTCTCGTTTTTGTTTTCCCTTCCACAGAGGCTGGATGTCCTCACCGGTATTTACTCCCTGTTGCCCCCCGAGGGAAGTGCTTGGGACTGCACCAGTTGTGTCCACATGCCCGATGGCCTGACTGTCCAGGTTCCAGTTAGGAGAGACCAGACGGTGGCTGACCTCCTCTCTGCAGCCTGCAAGGTTGGATTTGTGGCCACTACAACATTACATTAAACCAGTGTTTCCCAAACTTTTTTTAACCCATGGCACATATGTGTATATATATATAGATGTGTGTATATATATAGATATATATCTATATATATATACAGTATATCATCAGGAAAACCTCTACGGCACACCACTAGACAAAAATCTCAAAAAAGTATATGTAATGAAATATAATAATCTTTTAGTTTAAATGACATAAAAAAATCTCTTGTCTGTTTAGTTGAAGACGACGCTGATATATTGGCAGGAATTAAAAAAAGTCCCACCCAGAGATCTTTTTTTTTTTTTTTTTTTTAGCTTTAATAGCCATCCGCTGCCACCTAGCAGAAGAAAATTGAATTGTTCTGCCTGTCACACATTAACGAACAAAGAAAAAAAAAATTTGCAATAAATAAATAATAGTTTTAGGACCAGTTAACATTGACATTGGATAATTTTCCACGGCACACTAGTGGGCCAGGGCACAGTGGTTGGGAATCACTGCATTAAACGTGGGGGGGGGGGGGGGTGGGCCGTTGCATTTAGTTCCCCACCTCCCTCTGGCAATTGTATTAAGTTCTGCAGTGGAGTCATTATTTATGTTGTGTCCCCCCCCACCTCCTGACATTTATAAACACGCTGTGAAAATGTTTGTCATTTTAAAGTTAATCTTCCAGAATTTCTCACAGACACCTGTGTATTTGCAGGCGTGCATAGATAACTAGTTGAAATGTGTGCATGTGTGAATCCACACAGCCTTATTGAAGGCAGCAGATGGGTTCACACACACACACACACACACACACACAGTCCTTTAAGCAATGCTTAATTTGTTTACCACAAATTTCCCCCTGCAAAATGTGAAGTCACTAGAATTTGCCTAATTCGCGCCTCGTCCGCGCAGCAGCAGCTGCCACACGAAGTGCGTTCACTGTGTGGGATGAAGCCTTTATTCACAGACTGATGGAGATTAAGGTCTGTTGTGTAAACAGGTGAAACAGCTGGACCCCAGTCTGCACTGCCTCAGACTGCACAAGCAAGCAGGGCAGGACGTGGAGGTTAAATACGTGGCGCCTGGGGAGTCTCTCAGTGACCTGGTGAGGAGTGAAAACACGTACCCAGGAAATACGGCCTCCTGCTCATTATCTTAACTTTGTTACGTGGGTGCTAATTTAATTGCTGTCACTTTGTAGGTTCACGAGCAGCTGGAAGTTTTCCCAGTGAAAGTATTCACACTGCACATGAGAAGACCGAGCTGCACCGAAGACTTTGGTACGTCTAGTGTGTCTGATTTGGAAATGTTTTTTTTTTTTTTAATTCAGTCTGTAAACTTAATCCCTCTTTACATAATCCCTGTGTAAACCACCACAGCAACCTTTGTTTGCCTCGTGTTTGTGTAATTGTGATTTCCTCTTCACAGGTTTTGCTGTAACCGGACACATTGACAGCCAAAGGAACAGTCGCATCTTTGTCAGTGAGGTTCTCCCCGATGGACCCGCCTTCAGTGGAGGTATATACCCTTAAAATAACTAGAGACGAACGATGCATCGTGAATCGATTTAAAAAAAAATAAAAAATGGAGTAGGCTACATGATCTTGAAAAGTCACTGGTCACACCATGGGATTGCACACTCTAGTCCAGTAGGTGGCAGTATGTGCCTAAAAACGTTGGTTGTGACTCTATTAAACCAAAAGGTCAGTCCCTATGTATCCTAAGTGACATTCAGGTGTTCAAGTAGAACGTGGGAAAAACTTGTTCCAGGCTTTTACAGTGTTGCTCTAAAGAAAGGAACTCTTTCCAGTTCAGTTTTTTTTTATCGTCTTTTTTTGTTTCATATATTGACAGTTCTTACAAATAAAGGATCATTTTATTTGCACATTTTGTTTTTCAAAAGAAATCATAATAAAATAGAATCGTGACTCATCGCTACATCCCTAAAAATGACTTCTTTAAGATAACAATCCCGACGTCCTCTTGAATCTGTTTCTGTCGTCAGGTTTGCGTCCAGGTGATGAGATCCTGAACCTGAATGGACGGTGCGTGTCAGGTCTGGACCTGGCACTGATCCAGTCATTGTTCGCAGAACCAACACTGCAACTGAGCCTGAGGCGGGACGGTCCACGAGCCACGGGCCTGGCCTCCACCTCCCCAGCCCCTGCCACCAAACTCAGCCCTGAAGTCCGCGGCAAACACCAAAGAGCCAAGTCCTCCTCAGGTACTTCAGTTGGAAAAACACTCTACATAGATTGATGCATGACTGTGAGACAGGGTTGAAAATAGGTGACAGACTTAATCACAATGAACAAGCAATATTTCTAAGGTCCACTTATTAATGGAAACTTTTCCTCTGATCAAGCAGATAAAAAAGATAAAACATTTATTTTTAATCTGTTTTTCTCTGTAAACTCTAACGTAGCTCAAATTACCAGAAGTGTGATAAGATGCCTCCACCTTTTCTGACAATAAACAACAAGATGTTTGTTAACATCCAGACCACAACTTCCTCTAAAGAGGCCGTTAGTTAGTGTGTGTGTGTGTGTGTGTGGGTGTGTGTGTGAACTGAACTGTACAGTTGGTCAGGAGCGTGTGTTCTGAAGGTAAGACACTCAACCAAAGATTTTAGACTTTGTCTTTAGTTCATATAATTGTTACTGTTATTTATTTATTTACTTATTTTATAAAGATGATGTTGTTTGGTACTGAGGAGAACAGAAGGCGATGACTCACGGGTTTATGTGTGCGTGTGTGTGTATGTATATATATATTAGGTGAGAATATAATTTATATTCAGTTCACTGTATGGCAGTAAATTAACCAATCACAGCGTTGACGCCGACAAGTAAATAAGACTTTCCTTCTTTTAACATAATTCATTTTTTGATAAAATAACCATTTATTAAACATATTTTAATTAAAAAATAATTTCCTTGTTACAGTAGTTTAAGCACAGTTTGATAGAGAGTTTCGTATCAACTGCATTTTTAATTTTTTACATTTGCATTTTTTAAATTAAAATTTTAAATTAAAAAAAGAAATGGAAGACAGACATTTGACTGCAGTTGCCTCTTTAAAAAAAAAGTGAAGTTTCCTCAGAACTTTCTGTTCTTTCAGTTCTCTTTTGTTTGCCTGCTGTCACATCGACCTGCCTCTCAGGCTAGAACCAAAAATAAAGTCCTTTAATGCTGCTGTTTAAATCATTTCCTACGGACCTTAGTTTGAACAAGACATTTGGAAAAATGTGAAATGATATAATATATGTTATTATCACACCAAGGGGCTTCAACCTGGTGTAATTATCTCACCATTTTTACTTAAAAAAAAAACATTTTAGACTAGAATTCCTATTTTCTCTGAATGTCCAAATGTCACTAATGTGTTTCAAAAGTACAGAGTGAGTTTTTGTGTGACTCACCGATGGTTTTTTTTAAATACTGCAGCTAGAGGAAACATGCAGACACACACAAAAATATATACACAAATATACACACACACACAATCACACCCTCATGAATCGTTGTGTTAAAACTTGTTGTCTTCTGGTTCCAGATGTCTGTACGTCTGCTGATGGTGTCGTGTCGTCGTGTGTAGGACTGGAGAATGGTTACACCCACTGCACTCACAGGCCTGTTCAGCACAGCAAGGTAGGAGGTTGTGTGTGTGTGTGTTTGTGTGTTAGTTGTGGGGCTGTCAGAAAGGAGACAGGCACCAATCCTTGGCATTACCATAATTAGTATACTTTATCATAGCCACTGGTATAAACACAGCTTATTAGTGTCATGGTGGAACTGGGTAATTTTACCTCAGCCTCCAGCCACACACAGATGCATGTGAGCAGATGCGCCGCAACGTGCACATAAAGACATCATCCCTGGAGGCAGCGCTGAATCTCAATGCGCTGCTGTCATTCTCACCTTCACTCAAACCTACATATCCATCATAACAACCACAGCTGAGGGTCTTCTTTTGTTATACTGTCGATATGGGTTTGGACCCTTTCGTTGGGTTGGAAATTAATGCAAATAAAAATACCAGGGCTGTGAGAAAATATGGGTACACTGAAGTATTTGATGATGATGATCGATATTTTACAGCACTGGATCAATTTTTTTATTAAGAATGAATTCATTCATGGCCACAGATTGTACAGGGACTGCTTTGATTTATTTTAAGTATTTGAGACTTTGTGAGTCAAACTATCTTATTATTTTAATTTATCCAGATTAATCCTTTAAATTATAGATGTCAGATACATTTGCAGACTGATGTTATCGGCTCAATATTAGTATAATTATGTAATATCTGTAAGAATCGTTTTTTTTCTGATAATGAAAACCCAATTGTAGGAGGTCCTGAGGTGATTACCTCAGTTTTGGGGGCAAATGGCTGCACATATCGGTATCGGATTGAGACATTAAGAGTTTGGACAGTATTGGATATCGGCAAAAAGTTAATATCAGACATCATTACTTCAAATGCTTTTCTTTCTTCTCTAGTGATTCCAAATGTAGATCCCTCTGTTCCAATGTTAGTAACCTGATGTTCAGATGGAACAGCAGCAGAGTTTTTACTACAATAATAGTTTGACTACAATCAATAGTTAGTAACCTGATGTTCAGATGGAACAACATTGAGTCTTTACTACGATGATAGTTTGACTACAGTCAATTTGTCATTGTATCTATAGTACTGCAGTATTTCTAAATGTACCCTATCGTTGCCCCCCGTGTCATGATAAGTATCGTATTGCCTGATTCTTGCCAATACACTTCCCTAAAAAGTACACGCTGTCATCTCCGACGACTCGAGGCAGATGAACCTGCGTTGTCGTGTCCTTCCTGTTAATGAATCTGCGTTGACGTTGTAATGCGTGAAGCCATCAGAGATCACACCTCAGGAACGGTAATAAATGTGAGACAGGAAAACATGTGTGCCGGTGTGTTTCTGAGAGTGATGAGAAACGTGCACGGTCACCTTGAACAGCCACTGGTTAATTATGTATGATCTGTAAAGAGTCCACGTGCACTCATGCATATTCAACGCTCCCTACAATGGAAAGCTTATATGTCCTTTAAATCCTATACATTAGACGGGCTGAGTGTGTGCTGGTCTGAGCCGCTCATTAGGTGCAATGAGTTGTTGGAGGGAAAAACAGACACGAGTGTTTTTAATGGTTTGGAAATCTGGCTCAGAAATGTAGTAGAAATTGTTACTAACCGCTTCAGCTTTGTGGTAATTGCCAGTGTCATAGGACGCCAACAGTCGCTGACCTGGGGTCAGCCAGGAGGCGGATTAGTCCGGAACAAGTTGGCCTTTTCTCTTCCTCCTATCAGTTCTAGAGCTACGTGTTTCTCCTTTTGTTTGCCCAGCGACATAAGTCAGTCCCACTGTGCTGAGATCTGCACTGCACCACAGCTGCTGCTGCTGCTGCTGCTGCTGCTGCTCAGCACCAAGTCACTCCTGTTTCACTGGGAAGTGTGTGGGGGAATACAGTGAGTTTTTTGCATGTGTGCTTTAGCTGCTGTGTATGTTTGATGCATTAGAGATAAAAAAAAAAAAAGAAATCCACAAATGGACAACTTAGTCACTGAGCAGGTGTGCTAATGACAAAGACCCACAGGGGGAGGTATTGGTGCTAGGTATCAGAGGTTTAAGTCCCTGCTCGGTCATCGGTGTCTTCTCCTGACAGTTCATCAAATGTAGATCGCAGATGGAGATGAATAAAAGGAAAGGACTGTCACATCTTTCCGTCTCTTCAGTCGCTGCCTTTTTCCTGATCCGTCGGTTCACTGCGTTAAAGACTGGACCGTTTGTGTTTGTTTGTTTAGTTCAGTTTTGTGCCTTCGCAGGCATAGATGCACTGTTTACCGTTGCATTTGTGCTGCCACTGTGCACTTACTGCTACATTTAGCAATCCGGCAGTGTAGCAATCGGTTTAACACAATGTTGTGGTTCCATTATGAGCCGAGCCAATTGATTTGAGAAGTCATCAGGATCGGCACGATTGATTTGTCGTGTGTGTACGTGTGCGTTTGTTTCAGCGAGAGACAATCGAGGAATGTTGATGTGAATCTTAGATTCCTGAGTGCAGCATATGGTTTCTGGTGACCTCAAAGACACGGGTCCAGGCTGCAAGGTCAATGTTCCGATGCATTCATGTGAATGAACAACGACAGCCTACTGGGTGGTCTCCACAGACCGACGGAAGGTCGCAGGAAGGACATGGGTCAGAGAATTGGTTTTGAAAAATCCAAGAGATTCTCGTCTAACCCTTCATTAGTTTGAACCGAACTCCAAAGGTTCCAGCCAATCAACAACGAGCATTTATTGTCAGCTTTTTTTTCGTCTTAGACTTAATGAACTAGAGACTGGATTTTTTGAATGTTGTTGAGCAATACTTGGCCATTTTTATTTACGTGAGCAAATTTGTTATTAAAGGCCTTCACCACTAGATGCTGCTAATAGGTGCACAGTGTATTTTAAAAAAAACTGAATTCTAATTAAATACCTGTTTGTGCAGTGTTGTAATAAATAAATAATAATAATTTTTTGTCCCACGATGGGGAAATTTACAGGGTGAGGCAACAGATACAGGCTGCCACAGGAGGCGCCATTAGAGATACAGTATGTGATTCTTCTGGTATTTGAACCCAGGACCTTCTGCTCTCTGCTTGCAAGACAGGTATATTAGCAGCTACAGGTGTGCTAACTGCTACACTATGTAGTTGCTACTACAAATCATGGATTCAGCTGAAGGTTATCTAAAGAGTGAAGTTTTTCTCTAATCGTCTGCATCTTGGTATTGCCACAGATTTTGTTTTCTCAGACGTCCCTCCCAAGGCCACGCTCCTTATCTATCATTCATAGGAAACATCCCTGGAAGGTTTTTATTCTAACAGCCGGTGTCAACACTGAGCGTTCAAGGTGAAAGACAAACACTTTTAACCCCGTAAATACAATTCATTCAGCTTAGATTTTGCCCAGTGATCTGTTGCCGTCTATCTTATGTATTGTTCATAATCAGACCTGACGTCGACCACCGATGGGAATCAGTTATGTTACACTGTGACATTGATTTTTCTTAACCCATCGGTAGATGTTGTTCGTTGGCTTCTCTCTTGTCTTGACTTGGACCAAAGCTTAAACAGTGGAAACCGTACCATCGGCTTCTTTCAGTTTGTCCAGACAAAATACTTCAAGTAAATAGTCGTTAATATTGAGCTTTTTATTTAAGTAAATACTTGAATTTTTTTAAAAACTATTTTATTATTTAGTAATATTTGTGTGTTTACTTGAAATCCCAGTCTCTCAGGAAATAGTATGGTGGTTTGAAAATTGTTTACAGAAAAAGATGATACGTTGATATAATTAGCCCGCAGCTTTTAACGAAGATTCGGTGATTCCCGCAGACATCTGGCTGTACAGTCAGATCTTCTCTGTGAACATGAGTCCGTCTTCCTCTGAGCTGCAGACATTCCAATCCTCAACTGTAGACAATCTTCTTAACCCGGCTGCTCTGTCCATGTGATATGAGTGAGAGAGAGGGGGTGTTTGGGGAAAAGCATTTTTGTGTGTGTGCGTACGTGTTAGCGCTAAGCTCATCAGACACCATCTGGCCACAAGCGCTCTGGTAATCTGGATGTAATGCTGTCTGTGCAGTTAAGGCTACACTTGTCTCCTCTGCACAGTGTTTAACAAGCTGTGGTGAAAACGTGAAACAAAGAAGCGACACGGCAACTTGAACGGATCTGGACTCAACGTGATCCAAATGTAGTGGGGCGTGGGGGGAGTGGTGGGGACGGTCCCTGGTCAACCCATGGCCGCGTTTGTTTCAATCAATGTCACATTGAGGAGCGATGGAGCTCTGCGGCCGACCTCCGGCCTCCGCACCTTCACACAGGACCAATCTCCTGATAAAGATCTGTCCTCCATGTATTGGAGGAGATCACCTGGCAACGAAGAAGAAGAAGAAGAATGACGACCTGTTCCTGGTCTCCGCTCTGTTGACTTGGTGAAGGCCTCTCAGAGACATGCTGGTTTGCCTGGCTAAGGACATGGCCGCCTGCTTGTCCTGCCAGAAGTGGGCGAAAGGAGAAAAGCTGCTGGTAACTATGAGCCGTGGGAGGTTTTCACGCCAGAGCTTTAACATTTCACACCCAAACTCCCACAGCCTTCTGTGTGAATTTGGTTGAAATAACACCAGAAGACCAGGTCTAGATTAGATCAATTCTGATTTATAGTTAAGAAAATTATATCGTGTGCTGTCGATCGACCAATGGATGGAGATTGCATCATTAGGTTGTTCCAATAGTTAAAAAAGCTAAACAGTGATATTGATCTTATTACGTCTAAGTTGCCATGATCTGCAGTCAGTGTTGAACGTGAGTCAATGCCAGTGTGTGTGAACACGGTGAACAAACTCATAAACACCATGTGATCGTTCGTGTCAGTTTGTCCTCTGTCCATCTGTTGTCCTTCTGTGAGGTATACGTTCAGGACACATCGACGCAGGTCACCGAGGTCAAAGTGTTGCTGCGTTGTTTTTTTTTTACGGCCACGATGTTTTTGTTCACAGCAGTGTGAGCTCCATCAGAATGAATGGTTCTGCTTCGACTTTTATTTGCTTTGGATATTTGTATGGTGTGGACAGTTTAGGTCAGGTGAGGCAGTGAGGGAGTGAAAAAAACAAACCACAAAACCATTCATTTACCTTCAGGCGACTTAAGGTAGAGCTAGAACAAAGTGCTTGAACCGAGAAACACACCCTCTTGGAAAACCCCGAAAAAAATGCATTTATGTCTAAATGCTTTTGAGTGTCGTGTGACACCTCATGCCCTCCCCTCCCCCTCCCCCTCCCACCCTTGGTTTGATTCAGAAGCGTCCTTTATTGGACAACGCCACATGAGGACTGATCTGTATTTTTTCTCGCTTTATGTTTAAGTTATCTTATTAATGCTAAGCTGCGACCTCTCCACGGAGCCAAATCTAATCTACGCAATAGACTAAAGTCTGACTTTAAGCTATATCTGCTCGTGTTTCATCCCAGTGTCCACAGAGATCTGGTTTATTCCCAGGATACCAGGTTAAATAGTACAAACGTATCTTCTCAATTCCTATTACCCCGTCATCTTATTAGATTGCAGTCGACAGTAATAAGATAAAAAAAGTATTTTCTTGTACTCCAAACTTTGTGTA